ACTACATTTGCCACAGCAGTTGGCCATTACGAAAGAATAAATAAAATATCGGAGCAAAAAGAAAACACGTCTGCACACAACGAGAGCGAGTAATAGATATTTCGTAGATACGGGTGGGCTTTAGTAGTCAGCCGCACCTTGTGTTTTAAGAAAACCAGGTGGAATTAACAAATGAGACTTGGTCAGGATGTTAAGGGAGGTATCCTCTAAAACATGTATATAATAAAAAATATCATTGTTTATATGTAATTTGTTGTTAAAATTTCTTAAGTCGTTCCACTTGGTTTCCTTAACAAAAAGTGCATTTGTCACATACTTTCATATATATAAATGCACATAACACTGTACGTAATACTTTACACACTTTTATTTTATTTTATCTTGTATATAAATCACTTTAATTCAACTTTTATCGACTTGTAAATTACATTGAATTGCACCCATATTTACAATAGGGGTATTCTCTGAGTCTTGCAAAGCCCTTGCATGGTGCACAGATGCAGGATTGCACGGTAAAAACCGGTTTTCGTATGGGACAGCTTTGCAAACCGTGCAATCCGTGCACCGTGCAAGGGCTTTGCAAGACTCATGAGAATACCCCTAATAACACATGGTTGCAAACTTACACATAACATGTGTTGCCATATTGTACAAAACAATACATACAAAGAAGGCAATGTTTAAAAAGGAATACGTGGGCGTGTATTATTATCAATGAGGGTTTCCGGTCACGAACCTGTGCAAAAATATTGCCCATGACGAAGGCGGTGTTGGTCCCGCCCTATTTGTTTGCTTTAAGTTCGGCCGAAGGCCGCCTACGCAGAAAGGTGTTCTCTGCAAACGGTGTACAGCTCCTTTTCTTCGCAAAACAGAAAGGAGAATTCGACTGACTGAGGGTTATAACCCCTAAGTGCGGCCGAAGGCCGCCTACGCAGAAAGATGTTCTCTGTAAACGGTGTTCAGCTCGTTTTCTTCGCAAAACAGACAGGAGAATTATACTAAGTGAAAATACCGAATTAAAAATCCGCTTTTATTATTCAAAATTGCAGTCTGGTAGCACCAAGTTGTATGTTATTTTGATATCTATTCATCGTTTATATGAAAACTTTAACAATAAATTATATAAGAACTATAGGGTTGCCAGAAAAAAGGGGGGTATTTTTGAAATCAGGGGGTCCTATTCTACCCCCCTAGTCCCCCTTTTTCTAGAATTTGCCGACCGTCTACTAAAATTTTCCCAATTCTTACCTCGCTTAATTTCATTATTAGTGGAATCATCCCTGCGATGTATGAACCCACAAGCATAACAGCCACTAGTAAAACGAGCATGAATGTTTCTTCCGTCATTTTTTGTAACTCCTTCCACCTCTCGGTAAAAAAACACGATTGACGAAAAGCTAAATAAATATAAGATTTATGATATGACAAACACCCTATTTGTATAGCATTTTAGCCATTTTCTTACAGATTTTATTACTTTATGACTTGGTATGATCAAGCCTGTGCTTGGTGGCCAGGCAATGCCACGCTTAAAATCTTATTTGCTGGTATACCAAATCTTGAAATCCAGCTTTACGTTAAATGCATTAGTGTATATCTTATTTATCAACAGCTTGACTATCTTAAATTATTAAGAGCAGCATTGAATTTCATTTTGACATTACAAAAGCTTTGTGAGCATAAGAACCACTTCGTAAGCAAACTATTTTTTAGATTTTAGTAGGGACACTATACGATACCATTAGTTATGGCACGATGAATCGAATAACCGATTATAATCGGTAATTTTCATTCGGTTAACGATTTCTTGAATAAAATTTTCCTTTCGATTAATCGATTGACAACACAACAATACCATGTTCTGACCGACATCGAAAACATATCATAATAGTAGCCGTCATCGATTCGCCAACAGTTAGCCAGTGGCGAAACGAACGAACTCAATGAGGTACAACCAAACTCGCTATCGTCTATCCGTGCTAGCTAACTTTGTTGTTGTTGTCACATGCAAAATTCTTCTTTAAGCGACCGGAACTCAAACATAGCGAGCGAGAAGTGGCGAAACGATGACGGCTAGTATCTACTGTAGAATACTAATCATGGTGGAAATAATTAGCCGTCATCGATTCACCACTTATCGCTCGCTATGTTTGAGTTCCGGTCGCTTAAAGAAGAATTTTGCATGTGAAACCAACTACAAATTAGCTAGCACTGATAGACATAGCGAGTTTGGTTGTACCCCATTGAGTTCGTTCGTTTCGCGAATCTCTAACTGTTGGCGAATCGATGACGGCTATTGTTAGGTTATTTCCCGTACGCAACGTGTGATCCCGCCGGTGCCCATAACAGTCCAGCAATAATTCCCGTACTCAAAAAATGGGTAAAAGTGCACTTTAGCTGTATCAATCGACGCCGCAGCAGCACCAGGCGATGAACAGTAATTATTGTTGTTGTACGAAGCACTAGCCCCAAACTCAGCAGCCAACAAACCCACATTACCAGCATTTAAATTGCTGTTTCATTTTTCATTTCATTTCATTTCATTTATTAATAAAATCATTAGCACAATAAGATCAAAAGAATGATCTTTTATAGCGCAACAAAAAATTCATAACAGCACATACATATAACTAAAACAGCAAAAATTACTTAAGACTAAATAAAAGTAACATAATATAATTAACAGAGTAGTATTTTTAAGTGAGTTCTACAATTCCAGGACATATACTTAAAATAAGACTTAATTAAACAAGTACATAGAGAGCACATCACAGGGACTGAAGTGAAGCTAACGGAAATATGCATACAGAACATTTTTAGAGTTGCTTTTGTTTAAACTACTGCGAATATGGGATGGAATAGAGTTCCAGATGCGGATAGCATTGACAAAGAATAGCCGTGCAGAGCTGAGATAATTGTACGTAGGAACAGCCAAGTCCTTTACTCGAGTGGATTTGGGGAACATTAATTTTTCATATAGATATTTGGGTGCCTTATCTGTCATGAGACGAAAAAGGAATACACAATTTCTAGCTTTAAGATATTCAGAAATTTCGCAGCCAAGTAGGCGCGTTCTCCAAGCGGAAATATGTTCATATCTTGCTAGCCCAAACACATAGCGCGTGATCTGGTTAAATACTACATCTATTTTGTGAGCTGATTGGGAATCTAACCTGCTGTAGACTACCTCAGAATAACAGATAATTGGCATTATAAGTTGGATTGCGAGTTTACGTCTGATTTCTATCGGTGTAAATGGAGCAGACATTCGTAAATTCCTTAAAGTATTATAGACTTTGCCTACAGTTGAATTCACATGGTCAATGCAGGTAAGGCCTGTGTTGATAATAAACCCAAGGTTAGTTACTTTTGACACAAATTTAATTGGTTTGCCACCAATGTGTAACGATGGAATAGTTGCTAGGTTAAGACGTTTCTTACAAATAGGTAAAACAAAACACTTGTCACAATTAAGACAAAGACCATTTAACTGTGCCCAGGACCTTATAGACATCAGTTCCCTGTTGAAGCTTGCGCACAAATTAGCTGAGTCCTCCAGAGGACCTGACATGTAGAGCTGGACATCGTCCGCATAGGCATGCATGTTGGCGTGCATAGAAGTCCGAAATATATCATTAACGAACAAACTAAATAGTAGTGGTCCTAAGATTGACCCTTGCGGGACACCCGTGAACAAAGGCCTTTGTTCAGATATTTGAGATCCAACCTTGACACGCTGAGACCTCTCTTTCAGATAGCTACGCATCAGTTTTACTGCTGACTCTCTAAACCCAAAGTAGTTTTTTAATTTAAAGCACAGTAGTTCATGGCTAACTGAATCAAAGGCTTTAGAGAAGTCCAGCAAGCATAGTAGTGTTAAGTGGTTCTTGTCGAACAGTATTCTAATGTCATCAAGTATCTTTACCATTGCAGTAGAGCAGCTGTGATGGGGTCTGAATCCGGATTGAAATGGGGATATAAGGTTGAATTTACCGATGTGGGAAGAGATTTGTTCAGATAACAAAGATTCGAAAACTTTAGACAAGGCTGGTAGTATGCTGATGGGTCGGAAATCACTAGGGCTGGATGCGGATTTATTTTTGGCTACAGGAAGGACAGTAGCAATCTTCCAGGCATCGGGAAAACAGGACGTGGTGAGACTATGGTTTATTATGTGTGTCAAGGTTGGCAAAATAATCGGTAAGATTACCTTCACAAATCTAATCGGAATGCCGTCCTCCCCGATTGCGTTGGACCTGATCTTAAAAACAGATTTCACCACATCAATCTCGCTCACAGCAATGAACTCAAACTTTTCGCCAGCAAAAGAGACCGGACAGGAGGCTACAGAGTTGGTCGTAAGGGGACAAGATGAAGGCGGAGAAGCAAAGGAAACGCTAAGCGTTTCAGGACTCAACGAGCATTCTGATTTCTCACTGGCATGGACGCGGAGTGTTCTCAGATTTCGCCACAATACATTATTAGGCAGTGAGGGATCCAGCTTATTCATAAAGAATTTTTTCTTTTCACGTCTTATAACCGAGGTAGCTTCATTCCTTATTGTTTTGAAAGCACTCCAGTTCTCATCTGTCGGGTTCCTTTTCCATATGTTATAATATTTATTGCGTTTTTTAATCACTGATAGGACCACACCATTAAACCAACGGCAGGAAGAAGACCTGTCACAGGTTCGGGTAGGGACATGAGTGAGGAGCGAATTTAATATATTTTCGTTTAGGAAACGGAGCTTCTCATTGACCGTGCTGAGACCCCAGCAAACAGACCAATCGATCTGCAAGAGGCTACTGAAAAGGTTGTTGACATCTAAGGAACGGTAGTCAAAGAAGTTAAATACATAGGTATTGTCGTCATAGTGATCAAGTTTAACGTCAAAAGAACAAAATATCAAGTCATGATCAGATATAAAAGATGTTTGGTCAAATTTCAAAACAATAGAAGGATCAGATACAGCAAAGTAATCTAATAAGCTGGGACAGCAATTGCTACCATATCTTGTGGGCACCGACAAATTAACCATAGACAACCCAACACAGGAGATATCATCTATTAAACGAGCACTGGTAGAATCAGGACATAACAGGTTCACATTAAAATCACCACAAAGAATTATATGGTCATAATCTACAGAAACAGTGGACAGAAAATTAAAAAAGTCACATAGGCTGAAATACTTATAGGGATTATACACACAAGGCA